AATTACTTATGTATTTTGTAAACACATGATCTATATTTACATGCATGTATGTATGCAAACGGTTTATATATTATTAATTTGCCAAATATTCTAAGTTGCTCTGTTCCACTAACATAGAGGAGTAGGTACGTCTTAATGTACTTTAAATCTTCTGTAAATCTTTGGTACACCTCTTTATTGAGAGTAAATCCTAGCATTCAAGCCCAAAGCAATCTTTCACATGCCAGATAAAGTCCCAGTTTCAGTTCAGCTATAAAAGCTAAAATATGTTACCTGTCCTTACAGACACAGTAGGCCACAGCATAGCATATGGTCTGTTACAGCTACTGAGGTTTTTAATTATTACTTACATGGGCAGAGAGAATAGTTCAAGCTACTTCCAATTGAGCATCTGCTGCCTGTTACATTCATGACAGAGGATGTGCAGTATGCATGCTCCAACCAGATCAAGTGGTGTATATACATCAACTTAAGCCATAGCTGTGCTGCAAGCATTGCTGCCCCATAGGTATAGCAATTATTCTGTTGCTTAGTGATAAAAGTACCTTCTCACACAGAAAACTAGTTAGCATCTTTTAGAAATAGAAAGAAATATTTAGTGAATCTTAAACCAGTAGAACAAAGCAGCTGCCTTAGGATATACTCCACAAACAAGTGGAACTGTTAGGACAGTCTTGGTATTAAGCAAACATCAAGCCATAGTGATGAGTATCAAGCTTTACAGCAGCCATACCCTAGCAACAGAAGCAACTTTTATCTAAGTCTCTTATTCAACTTCTTAAAACACAGACCTTTCTCTCCCTCTCCACTCTTTACTTCCCCCTGTCATCTGTTCCCCACCACAAAAGCAGCAGCTCTCAGGATATGAAGTGCTGAGGCTTTGGAGGATTGTGACAAGGGACACAAGGAACAAGCCTGGTAACTACGGGTGCATGGAAGTCCCTAAAGCACAGGTTTTGTAGCAGGGAGATGAGGAATGGCTGCATGAGAACAGAATCAGCGTGTTGTTTTTTTTTTTTAACTTGAGTACAACAATTTGGGGAAGGAAAAAATGTGGGTGAGACATAGGATGTCCAGATCATTACTCCTAGTAGGGCACTGAGCTGGAGATGCAGCGCTTGGGGGATGCTAGAGTGTGGGAAGATGTGCATGTTTGTGAGCTAGCAAACAGGAGTTAGCCACTACTGCAGAAAGCAAGAAGAGAGCTCTAAACGGAAATGCTGGAGAAACTGCCACAGCAATTTAGGCTTCATGCAGGTTTCAAGAGAGAACAAAGGAACCTTTTTCTTCAAATGGCATAGGAAAAACCATATCTCTTCATTAACTGACCGAATGGTGTTAAAAAGGCACAAAAAAGGACTAAGCTTACCTCTTTGTGATACCAACGCATATGAACAAATCCAGTTCTGTAGAGACACAGTGGCACATGATCACAGTAAATTAGATCTTTTATTGCTTTGAAGCAGAAAGAAATATATAATTTATGTGCATTCATGTATGTAGGCATAATAAATACAAACCTCAGGACAAAAGCATGAACCACTATCCTTTTTAAAAAGTTCAATTTTTAATTAAATTTCAAAACAATTCAAGCAGAGAAGTTGTAGAAAATAATGCACCATAAACAATTTTTTATCTAATGTGACAGTTGAGAAGAAAACTCTTGGTCTTAAAATAATTTTTGCCCCTTTTGAAGTCAGTTGAAAAGTTTTCTTTTTATTTACAGAAAAACTAATAAGAGTAAGTTCTTGGTAGTATGGTAACACCATCTTCCAGCTGGAATTCCAATGGAGTTACGAAGCAATAGAAGTAAAATCTTGAAGAAAAATAAATTTATGTTTGTCCTGAGCATCTCTTCACTTTTAATTTGAAAGCTTTCTAAACAAAAGGTGTGTGGAAGGTTGTGTTCTTACTTTGAAAGATTTCTAGCTTTGTCTTTTTTCTTAAACTTTGTCTTACAGATTATGAAAATATAGAGACTTAACAACACCTACCCTTGTAAAATTTTTACATGTGTTCATGTGTTCAAAGGCCTGCTATCCACGTCACCAGTTCCCCAAAGCACGACATAGGAGCACATGGAAGGCAGATTTCATTTTGGTAGCAATATTCCAAAGTACAAAGTGGTCAAGGACAAAGAATCAAACATTAGAAGCAAACACACTCCTTTCCTTTTAATCAGTATCTTGTTAGACTGGTGGGTTTGACTCATTAATCTTTTGGTAAATGAAAAATGAAACTGATTGACCACTACGGCAAAAAATAAAACTGCAAATTAAAACTCATTTTAATGAAATTGCTAGCAAAGAGTGCTACTTCATCATGCACAACTTTCCTCAGAAGTATTTGGACTTTGGAGTACCCATGTCTGAGGTATTTAGAGGTAAATTCTGAATCCACAAGACCTGAAAACAAACTCTCTGAACTTCTCCTCTTATATTGTGTATATTTCTAAAGCCATGCAAGTTCCACCAAAAAAGTAACAAAAAAGTATTGTATTTTGTGTTTAATAGTTTTGAACAAATCTGAAATTGAGCTTCATATGACTGCTGTGTTGCATCTAAATGTTCACTATAGTATAGCTGAGATGGGACATACAAAAAACTCAAAAATTAAAATGCCTGGAGGTTTGCAATGAATTGTTTTTCATTTCTTCAGCAACTGCTGCATAGTGATTGATCTAGTACTGTACAACACAGGAAATTAGCAATTAAAGGCTTTCATGCATCCAGCATCAGTTCCTACAAATCCTGTTAGCCACAGGAGTAAAATTAGAAGAGGAGGAGGAATCAACAAAACTAAAAAGTGCTTATTGTAAGCTGTATTCAATTTGTCCTTTGCTGAAAAACATGAAAACTCTGAACAGATTGCACGCACAAGAGTATTTAATGTAGGATTATAACTCAATTAAGACAACTATTTCTCTGATCCTGTAATTCTAAGGCATTTTGCAGATGTCTGTGAATCCCAGGCTGTAATGCAAATTTCTTTCTGTTCTCCATAATATAAACTCACATTTTATGAAAAGACGCATTTAGCCTTCTGTCTAGAAAAATAATCTTCACAATGTAGGTCAAAAGATACACTACTGTTGTAGATGAATCTAAAATAAGGTAAACTAAATTAACATATACAACATTAAATGTGAACATCCTCCATATATATAAACATGGCATTAACAGTAAAGCCTAACTGATACCCTTGTTTCTTTAAGAAATGCTTGGACAGTGTCCCAGAGCACAAGGGAAACAGATTCCCAGCCCAGGACGAGCCTTGCCAGCCCCAGAACTGGAGGCAGCATCACACACGGGGCTGTGCACACAAGTTGCATAAGACTGCAACTTCACACTCCAAGCCAGCCTGGAGATTGCTGCACTATGCTTTGCTACAGGAATAAACATGCCCTTTCTCTTCTCCAACATGAACAAAAGTGCATCTACGCTATCATTAATCACATGAGACTGTTTTGCTTCAGATTTGTCAAAACTAATTCAGGTTTGCTGAATTTAGCGACAGATACAGGATTTATCTAGACCAGGGGAAGAGAAAAAGGTTATATAAACTTTGCTAACATAGCCAGACAAATTAAATTGTTAATCCATGCCTAAACAAAAGGTCACTATTAGCTCAGGGTTAACTAAAACTCCTTAGCTAATCTCTGACCTAATTTTGACCTCTCTTGTTAATTGCAGAAATGCTTTCAGTTAATATATTGGTTAGCTGTGTTTACGCCCCCCACTTCTGTAGTTTCTTGCCTTGCAGCTCACAAATTAAAGACAAAATATCTTTTTCTAAGACTAATTAGTACCCAATTAGTTCCATGTTCCTACCTGGAGTGGAACCGATAGTAAAGACAAACATCAAGCATTTTAATCTCTTTCATGAAGGAGGCGTTTATGAACATGAAAGGAACTTCAAAACCTTTATTTCACTTTTTTTTCCTGCAGATCATAAAATATTACTTCACAAAGCTTGTAAAAATACCCAATTCTTCCACTTCTAGTGATTCCCATTAGAAAGAAGTACAGTTATATCACTGTTAGAAGAGAAGAGCTAGTTAAAGAAGACCTGTAAATCTAATGGATCTGCAATCATGTTAGTAGGTTGTATCAAGACATAATCATTTATCATTGTATCATATTTCTTACAGGGCTGTTTACACTGGGTATGGTTAATTCCTTTAGTATCATAACCATTGTATGTCAGGGTATAGGTGTGACATATTCATAACCATAAAATGTCCCCTTCTGTGGAAGAGTAGTTTTTGCTCAAGTTAAAGTGAAGCACCTGAGTTATACTTCCAAAATGCATTTCTCTGCATTCACTTTTGTTTTAAGTCGGAAGTGTTCAGGTTCTGGTAAAAATGTATGCAGGTTTAATTTAAAAATTAAGTCTGAGAGAGAAACTAAACCCGACTGCATTGTAAAATGTATATAAATTTACAAAAAGTAATTGTAATAATATAAGAAATAAAAATCTCCAAGTTAAAAAGAACTGTACAAATACCATGCCTTATGTTCATCTGAACTAAGTAATATAAGGAATTACAGTTTGAAAACCTACTGTAATTAGATATTGAAGTTAAAATGCTCAGCAGAAATTCAATATACTTCTAAATGCTGAGGCCTTACCATTCCATTACTTTCATATTCCTTGTCTTTTCATACTGATAAAAGCTTCTCCAAAGTAAATTTATCCAGTCATATTGAGGATCATACTTGCCCAAGAGATAACATAACTCTAAATTACGCTCAGAGTTTTCTTCTTCTTTTCTATAGGAAATGAGAATGATCTTCTATCACCTGAACAAAGGCACCTGGCCTACTGCAAAAATGAAAAAGCTTGTCCATTACTGTTTGTCACATTGGTAGATAAACTCTTGCCTATGAAGGGCCTAAAAGCTGTTTTATTACAGTACAGTCAACTGTTGGGATCAAATTCAGTTTCATATTCATTTGCTAACTGCAAATAAATCCCACTGTACTGTCAGTACAGTTTTCTTATATTTTAACATTATTCACCAAAAGCTCCATTCTTCTGAGTTTGCGCTTATTCTTTGGCATTGGCTTGTTGTATAAGCCATTTTTGAGAAGATGCTCTTTGCTGTGATGGATCTGGGCACCGTGCTGAAGCTGGAAAGAGCATAAAGCTTGAAGTGGACGGAGTATAGTCTGCGGAAAGATGAAGGGATACGGGGAGACAAAAACCCCAACCTTTTAGTAAGCTATTTTAGAGACATCGATTATTCCAGGTTTTGTATTCAAGGACTACTTAGAAATGCTGATAAAATATAGTTTGGATGATAAATGCTGATAAAATATAACCTTTGGAGACACAGAGGGCACAGTTGAATAAGAGATGTACTAAAAAGAAGCCACATAGCAGACATACATCCACCTACCTGCTGTCGTCCCTTACTCCTCTCCTTGGACTAACTCAATCCTGGCTTCAGCCCCAGCCACATTATTGTAAGTTATGGCTTTAACTTGACCTTAGCAATGGACTACAATCAATTACTGTGGCTCAGCCAACAAGCTGCAATAAAATAAGTAACAATAACTAAGCTGTTTGTGCTTGCATGAAAATACTTTGAGGCAGGGTTTTAGAAAGAGGGGAGGGACTCATGATCAAGGCAGTTGGATTGCTATCCTGAAGACTGCACTGTATCCTTGCTTCTGCTCAGCAATATCATGTAGGACTAATGAAGCCACACAAACCAAATTTATCTCAAGTGGTTCCTAATTGCAGGTTCTTCATTTTCTGGTTGCCTGACTCAGTATCACGGGGCCTCATGTGCAGATGTGTAAAGCAATCACAAATGTAACTGCAGTCAGCAGGAGCTGAGTTTCTACCAAGTAAAATGTGACTCTTCTGAGCACACAGGAAAATCAAGTGACTTACTTATATTGGGCATCAAACTAAGTGCCCATTTTTAACTTCCATGGCTCTTGACTTCAATTTGCCATCTTATATGCCGGGAATAGCAGTCATTTAATTCAGAGATGGTATAAAAAAAGTGCACAAATGTTCATGAAGCTCTTGGCTATTGCAGCATTTATAGAAGAACCTTTGAGAAACAGACAATTTTATCTTTGAAAAGTAGGCTGGGCCAATTCTGAGTGGTAGGGATAAAACAGAATACAGGACTGGGAATTCTAGACACTAGCAAAACATTCACCCTGGACCTGAATAAGACAGAAGTCCTAACGAAGGAAAAATATGCCAACATTGTCCTAGCACACCAAAGCAAAAAGTAAATATATAAAACCCACTTTCATGTCAGTATTTCTAATTTTTCACAGGTTTAACTTCTACAATAAACAAAAACATTCTTTTAACATAAAAGCATACGATAGCCACACTGTCATAAAAGACACACAACTTTCTAGAAAAGTTTCTTTATGCAGAGTTCCAATTTGAGCTATATTTTCTTTTGTGGTGACACACTTTGTCCCGGTCTGGTTCTAAATGCAATTGATTTAATGTTGAGGTGACTCTCTAGTGCTACAGAAGTGGACATGAAGGTGGCATACTCTACACTATGTCAATTGCAGAAGCAATTTTTGACCTGGGAACCTTTTTTAGTAGGCAGAAATCAAGTACCAAAATATTAATTATCTGATGAAGAGGGATAGAAGCATCCCAGGGTGGATACTAGAATGTAGTGAATACATGGATGAGCTTTAAATCTCTTTCACAGACCCTTCTGTACTACATTCTGGGCACACAATCAGATTGCAGACCTGGGTCTATGTTGCAAAACTACTCGTAGGTCTTTTTCAAAAGGGTTATTAAATTGGTATTACTAATGTCAGCAACAAAAGATTAAGAAGGACATTATCTTAATAACCTCTTCCATCACCGACTAGTGGGATCACAAGTTGCAAGGAAAAGGCTAATGTCCAATTAGTATTCTTTGACCTGGGACAAACTTAAACTCAAGAACTGTTAAATTCCAAGTTCCTCCAGTGACACCTAAGAGTTGTGAGCTGGCTGGTAGGAAGACATAATCCAGTGGGTTGCATTCCATGGCTGCAGGAGTGCGGGAGGTCAGTGGGACAGGCTTACAAAAGCATTTTATCTTCCAGTTAGCAGTGAGGGGGTATTCAGATCACCTATGCTGTCTAGTTTTTGCAGAAAATAACTTATTACTTTCCATGCAGTAATATACTCAATTGCCTGTCTCCAACTAGATCAGCTTTTGGGTTTTTGAGAGTCAAAGATCACCTTGCTGTGCTTTGACTTCAGAGGATCATTTAAAAATACGGATCTATCAAAAAGGATAATCGTTATTTGTCTCCAGTAAATATTCCAAGACCAACACATGCTAACAAGGAAATTAATCCTACCTGACTGCTAACTAAAAGAAACTTTTTAGAATCTAGCACCAGTTATTCTCAATGGCATTTGTCAGCCCTGTAATTTTAAATTCAGATCTTAACTGAAGAAGTTAACCATAAATTTAAAGGTAGTTAAATACTTTAATATCCTATGTAAGAGACATAGAGACTTTACTGATACTAATCTCCAAATTTTCTTAAGTTTCTCACATCTTGGAAATACTTTTCCTTTTTAAGAAGTTGTATCCAAAGGTATTTTACTAATTCCCAAGAGCCTCAACTGATGGTACCTAAGTAATACTATTCCCCACTATTAGAATATGAAGAGACTGGTGAAAATATCTGAATGTTTCTATGACAATTTGGTTCTCAACTGAAGTAAAAAAATATTTTAAGGTGTGCATACATATACACTGCCTCCTAACATTTGTTATAGGATGTACCATTCAAAATTAATAAACTCTTCTGACTTTAAGTGGCTTCAGGTTTTATCTACCATTAGGAAAACGCACAAGAAACTCAATGGCACAAAGCCTTCAAGACCCAGAACAAAAATTTCATTCCAAACACTGCTTGCCACATTATTCAGTACTAATAAATCACTAATCAACTAAATAATCATCATGCTTTTCTGGCTTCATGAAAATTAGACATCAGAGTGATTATAGGCTGTAATCTCTGCCAAGTTTACTAGTATCTTCCATTGCTACAAAATACTAATCATACTTTAGACTGAGTATAACTTCAGTAACATAAGAGTGCAACATATAAATTCCATACATTACAGCAACTGAATAGTTGTTAATAGTTAACTGTTAATTACAGTTAATTAACAGAGTACATAAACCAAAGTAGTTTTCAATACACTATAGTTAAGAAATACCCGAAAGAAAATCATTTAAAAAAAGAAAATCAATCTAGCATGTTACATTTGTACAATTTAGTATATTACATGTGCCTGGTACATGGTCTATGTTTTGAAGTTTTGCTATAAGAAATGTCAAGTGAACTTAGAAAAACATCACAGGAAGAAATAACTACAACAGTGCATCTCTGCACTATTTGCCCTGCAATATACACCATAGTACTTCTATTTGTTTTGAGCTAAATCCCCAACTGTCATCTCTACAGATTTTTATTCTGTATTGTAACAAGCACAGCATATATTTGCTGCCTTATAAACCAACTTTTTAAAACAAGTAATGTACAGGTGAAGAGAATCTGAGTCACTCTTCTCATCATACTTAGAATTACACGAAGTAGTGTGTGAGATAGTAGTACAGGATGAGAGAATGTGATGGGAAAGAAGAATGAGGTAGAAGGAAAGAAGGAACTGGACTGCTGAGTTAAAAATGCATAAAAGGTACAAGAGAGAAACAGTGAACAGAAAGGACAAATGGAAAAAAGAGGGAAAAAGAAAAGGGAGACTGAGTAACCAGTACAGCACAAGGGGAACTCAAATCCTGAGATGAATGAACCGCAAGACTGCACAGTGAAAACTTGTAAAAGTGGAAGTGTCTGGGGAAAGCATTAGACCAGTAAAGGAAGGGAAAGAAAAAAAAACAAAACAAAACAAAACAACAAGGGAAAAAGAGGAACTGAGGAGATGGGCTGGGAAGGTAGCAGTTGTTTCCAATAACCAATTTATTACTCCATACACAAAATGGGCTACCAGGGTAAAACTGGTCTGTAAGATAAGTAGTCTGCATTCAGCCTTCATGGACATTGCAGCACCAAATACAATCTGTTACAGGACATGATCTGACCCTAACTGGTACTTTAAACATCATCAAAGCAAGATTTTTAGCCCTGAATCTTGTCCAGGTTTATATTCAGACAACTCTTTGTGGCAAAAGAGCCAATCTATTTCCATTATGGGATGAAACAAAAATTAGAATTTAGCATAGAAAAGTACTAGAATTTAACATATTTAGAAGAGCAATAGCAAAACAATCATTCAAGACCTTTGTATCTAACAAGTTCCCTCAGCAATCTGACAGCAATGTTGAATAAAGAATAGGAAAACTATAGTTATAGTTTTATAGTTATAGTATTATAGTTATAGAGACTTTTGGAACACAACAAGGAACAGTCACAGTAATCTGAACATATCAGAATTAATAAATATCTGAAGAAAAATAGTTTCTATCGGTACATTCTTGTTTTAGTTTGCTATGCAACAAAAACATTACACTGTCGTTAAGATTTTGACTGTCAAATTAACAGCTAAGTACCTTCACTGTCCCTCTGCTATTCATAAAAGAAAAACTCAGGTGTTTAATTTTACGTACCTCTTGTATACTCTTATTTTTTTCCATGATAGTAAGAGCAACAGCTGCACATTCAAGTGTAGACAGACAGGTGTTTGTTGGTTGTGTACGAATCACGTATTGACTTGAAATGTTGGTTTTTAACTGCACCTGAAAAATAGCAAACTCTACTAAAATAAACAGGTCAGTACAGCAAACAAGATACTTCTTCCCATCAGAGACAAGAACTGCACAAACTGTTACTGTACAAACATGTAAAGAAAATAAAATTGTTTGTTAGAGAAAGACTGAGTGCAGTTTTAGCAACGAATTTCAGTTGCCATAGATATCCTATGACAAAAATAAGATTATTCACCTATGCTTGTTTTATTGCACACTCTAAACACACACGATTCTGTACAATGTAGAGTGACTATATCATCGCCAACACTATTTACCTTAGTTAAATATTACTTGTCAAGTTCTGAATGAAAGAGTTTTAGAAACTACTTTTATTCATATAATGTACTAGGTCACTGATTAGAACTATTTGCTTACCGAAATCATGTTTAAAAATGATTTTTTCGCCCTGCCTCAAGTGATAACGACTCTATACTATCTCACAAATTAAAGTTTTTTTAAGAAAAAGAAATTTAATTCAACCACTACACTGCCTGTTTTATCAGCTCCAAAATCTTTTACTGAGTTTATAAACAGCAGTTGAAACATCACAGAATTTACATTACTAGACTTTGTGTGAAAATTCAGATATTATTCCTTTATTTCTAAAATTTCCACCTCCACTTCTGTTTAAAATATAATTTGCCAAACAAGTTAATGTTTTAGCAACACCGTCACTATTCATAACCAAAAATCATCAGTTTCTTTTCCAGAAAATCATAGTACAGTACAATAAACCCTGAGGAATTATTACAAGAGAGCAAGTCAATTTTCTTTTTTTTTTAAATCTCATCCCAGCAATTGTCTTTTATTTTTCCTTCTTCTCAAAAAAGTGAGTGACTGTTCCCCATGGCCATCATGATACTGCTCCCATTCTGCTTGCCAGAGGTTTTTCAGCATTCCTCACTTCATTCAGTATTTTTCCTCTTCACTTTTCCCATTTTTGCTTTTATTTGTAATGCTTTATTTTCCTTCATCTCTTTTACATGCAATCACCCATTCTTAAAAGTTCAAGATCTCTCATTTATTAAAGGGAAACTCCAAGCTGCTGAAGAAACATGAATGAGTAAGATCAAATTCCAATATTTTACCTGATTCCAATGTAATGGGAATTAAAAATAAATAAGTAAAAAGAAGGCAACAAGAGAAGAGGAAAGCCATTCTGGAAAGGACAAATAAGTTAGCTATAAAAGTTCAATATACTCAAATATAGGAAAAGACAGAAAAATGTATCTTTGTGACAGAAGGTCCTAACTTGTTTATCAAAGGAAACCTTTTTTTTTTTAAATGCTGATATTGAGATTGGGTAGGCTCGAAGGACCAAAACATGCACATTTCAGAATGTTTTAAAAGTTTCCAACAAGGATTGTTTAGATAGTTGGAGAGATCACTTTCAACAGCCAAAGAATACACACTTGGGTTGAGAAATTGAGAAGATGAATGCATGCTAGTTACGTAAAGAATACAGCATACCAGCATTATGATTTTTGCATTATATAAAGATACATTTGTATTCTTTTCACACCTGTAATACTGGAGGTGTCATTTTAATTAAATAATTTTAAAATCACATCTTCCAAAATCCATTTTGCCCCCTTGAGAGAAGATCGATGCTTTTGCTATTTTAAGGCTGCTTACCATAATAATTACCTGCAATGCATGTAGTTTTAATCAGGTTATACAATTACCAACTGTTAATTAAACTGAAAATGCACCAGTGGTCTCAAAGCACATATAAATGTATCTTTCCTGAACATACTTACTATTCTTAGATATTTCAAGGTAATGGTTACAGGTGATGATATACAGTAATTTCCTGCAAACTCAATGGTCATCTCCACTTAAAACTCATTTTCATTTTCTGCAGCTATTCAGCATATTTCTGCAAATGAATTGGCACAATGTATGACATATTACTCAATGAATGCCTATTACTTACTCTAAAGTCGAACCTGATATATTTAAAGCCAACATAGTTTAAGTAGTTGATTTTTCCATGTCTGCAAACTCAAGAGTCTTTAGTCTCTAGCTCTGTACTCTGACTGTCAAAAGAGAAGAATTTATATCCAGCACCTCATTAGCAGATTGTGCTTGCTATTACACTACACTGGAAGCCGACAGGCTACAATCTTTGATTTATAGTTATACTGTAGAATTTTATCTACTGTATGAAAGATGTTAACAGTTACTTGGATATTCAACAGCAAACTCAGTCCACATGCTGGGGAACAGATCCGCGACAGATTCAAGAACGAAGCTAGTGGATATATACTAGCTTTTATCAACTACCTTCTTCAATTTGGTATCGAAAAATCAAAAAGAGAATAAATCGATTTAGGAGACAAAATGTAGAATTTGGACATCAGTGTATGTAGTGAAATGCAAAAGAAAATTAAAATGAAATATTTTCATTTATTGTTCCTCAAAGTTTTCTTTGTTTTTATGCTTTCTTTATTGGGAACCATGTATAGGTCTCCATCATGACAGAGTAGGAAAGCTAGTTATTTTGAGTATACAGACATATATGCTGCAGAGAGCTTTTAGTGCCTACTCAGAAATTCCTAGATAGGTATTAACAACGAGGATAAACTCAGTCCATTGTTTCTCCAGCATGTATCCTGCTGCAGAGCAGAAACATACCCACATTTCTCAACAACTGACAGCCACATTCTTCATAGAGTTTCTCTACAGAGGTTGAGAGAAACCACCTCATGGACTACCTGCAGGCACACTGGCTTCCCACTCCTTAGACATATACAACAGTGCCTCAAGGCTTTTTTTTGTAAGAGCTGGGAATAGTTCTGTCTGCTCGTTTCCATACTTCATTTTTTGGGGCTCATGCTGAAAAACTTCTAAGATCATCAGCAGTCCAGAGAAAGGAAAATTATTCATAATTGCAAGACAACTTCTGGGGAAGAAAAGCTGCCTGCACTCCACCTTACACTGTGGAGCCAAAAAGTCTGTAAGTGCAGCTCTCAAACAACTGACATAGTATGAAAAGGCAACCTTATATTTCTAACAGCAACAGCAGCAGCAACCAAATTTCTTCTTTCCTGGGAAGAGCAAGAGGATGGAAACAAGTGGTCCCCATTCTTTCTTCTGAAAAATTACATATTCACTGGGATGAGACGAAAACACCACAGACAGACAGCACAGTGGTGGAGATCAAAGGAAGAATACCTAACCAGGACAATGCCCTTCTACAGTTTGTTTCTTAGGCTTCTTTCAGCAAACGTGCATTTTACTCTACTCTTTACTCCAAAACAATATAGAAAACAAAATGAATTAATATAGTTAATACATATTTCAGACATGGGAAGAATATCTTCTTGAAAAAAAATCATCTATATATATGAAATATTTACTGTTCTCAAATGTGATTGGGTAGGAGGAAAACTTCTCTCATTTTCAGCCAAGAGGTCTAAAACTTGCCCTGCCTTTTGTGGAGCTAGTAGTTTCAGGTAGGGTATTGCAACAGTCTTACCAAAGCTTCTGCATTACCTAGATGGATTAATTCTCCGTCTGTCACCTGTATATGTCACATGCAGCTGAACAAGCTTAATTCAAAGTTACGGAAATGTTCCCCCACAGTTAATGTAAACAAAATCAGATCATCTGCCCCTTACATTACGCTTCAAAAACTCAGCATGAATATACATAAATACCCTATCTAAGTACATTTCAAAACAACAATCATGAGACTTTATAACCACTTTTCCATAAAATGCTAAAGATATCATGATACAACCAATTTACTTTTTTTTTTAGCTGTCAAAGTAATTTGCAAATCATATGCACATTTTGGAATAATTTCAGTTACTAACAAAATACAGCAATGTCAAATTGAAAAAGCACCAGTCTACTTAACAGCACTCACCAAAATAACCAATAGCATAAGACAGAAGATAGAAACTATCTCAACCAATTTAAACTAGAGAGAGGAATTTAGATAAGCTGAATGCAATTATTCACTGGAATTTAGCCAAGACACTGAAATTAGCATATCTATTCTCTTCATAAGTGCAAGAGAGTTTGGGGACTTAGTTTCCAAGCCATCAGAAGCATGAAGCAACACATACAATAAGGTTTCATTTCTATGTGTAACTCAAGACCAAGTGAGTCTTTTTCCAAAAGCCTGAATGTCAGCAGCTCTCACAAACTGTTACATTAACTCAATAAACACTGGCTTCTCTGCCTATGCACCACCCTCTTAGCAAATGCTACAGCCTTTGAGCATTTACAAAGGATCTGAACCACAGTAAAAATAGTGACCCTTCAGTATTTCTCAGGCCGGAGTTCTTCTTCCATGGGCCTCTTTGGAGATGCCCCAGGCAAGTGATGACCCAGCTGATCCTGTTCAGCCATTCAGAACTGATGGAAGCAAAAGTGTTGCCTTGATGGGGTCAAACACCTGCTGTTTGAAATTTTAGAAATTTAAGTCAGTAAAGACAGGCAACTGATTTCTGCTCTTATTTTAAATGTTAGGACTGGAGCTTTTGCAGAAAGCTTTAAGTGCCACCCTCAGTCCTCAATGTCAATATCCTTATCTTTTTACCTTTTCGATGCCAGTTCCTTCATCATTACTCTTACTAGCTTTATTCTCCAAACAGAATCCAGCATTATGCAAAATTCTATTTGGAAAACAGTGCACCCGCAAGAACACAGAAAGGCTATAAAGTTAGTGCACCTGTCTCACAAGGCACACTCAACAATTCTTGATTTTGTCTGTCCTGTTTTCTGCAATTAGGCTACAGGCACTTTAAAACAGGCAGAGGAAAAACATATTCTTCTGTGGCTTCTATGAAAAACCTAGTACTTATTTTAAGATCCTCTCCTCTTCTACTTTTGTTCATAGTGTCCTTATAAAATCTGAATTTCTCTTTGGGAATTAATTTGCTCAACTCTCAGAGAATGAAGTAAGCAAGTACCATCCGTCATGCTGCTTAACATAGGCAGTAGTTATTGTTCATATGTACTGCTACTTTAATAAA